TATATATATATATCAGATGAATGTTATCCTTTTACTTATTTTCTAAAGAACCTCCAAGTAATTTAAAAAATTCTTTAATTGTGTATAAATTTATATCCAATCTGAGTGCATCTCTTTTCTTTGTATTTATTCAGAAACATTTAGGTGTCACTAAGGTGCAACGATCAGAGTTAGGCTCAAGGAATATGGAGTGGAGCCAAAAGACTGAGGGTGGTGGGTGAAGGGTGTTAGATGCCCCTTTGAAGAGCCAGTAGTACAGCCATAGAGAAGCTAACCTTTAGGTCCAAGGTTACAGCTTAGTGTAGCAAGCATGGTGATGGGGCTCAGAGAAAGGGCTGCAGGAGCTGCAAGACCTTGCCAAAGGGGCCAGAGGAAAAGGGACATTTGATCTAAATCTTCAGATATCAAAATTGACAAACTTATTTCCAAATTATCATGTTGACCAAAGCTCTTTCCCATAACTACTCTGCTTAGATGACTCGCCTAAACCTGTTAGATGCCTCCTGTACTGAATTCTCACTTATGTGGCTGCATTGCAATGCCATGCATTCAAAAAGCATTCCATGTGGCAGTGGAAGAAAGGAATTGAGGACTGAATGCCTCACTGGGATGTGGCTTTGAATGGCAGGCCTCTTCACAGCTGCATAATCCTTTGTGTACCCACCCCTATAACATGGGAGAGTCTTTCTTCTTGGGATTTAGTGGCTCAACAGGTTTGGAAGAATTTGGGAAGGGGATGCTCCCTTGAGTTCTGTTGCTAGGAGAAGACAGGAAATTTAGCAGGTCAAAAGGCAAAGGTAAAACTATAGTGGAAGGTTTCTCTGTGGACAAAGACTGAAGGGTGTGGAGGTATCGAAGCTGAACAGCAGCTGGGGTTCCTGACAGAATCTCAGCAGCCATCCTCAGGGACTCAGAAGCAGCCTTTTCCCCTTCCGCAGCAATCATCTAGAAAACAAATATGGAAAACACAAAGTGATTGTGCTTCTTGGTTCCAAGAGGGCTGTCAGTGGGACCCAGTGTGGCAGGCACTATTCAGCACAGGAGAACAGATTCAGCTGCTTTCTAAAGACTGCTGAGCTAGGGAAGATCCATTAAACTACTAAAATGTAAGGTGAACTTGTTATAGACCATGAAAAGTATAAACAGAGTGTTAGGGGAGTTCTTGTCTGGTGGGCTTGAAAAGATTAGTAGGAATTTGCCATACAGAAGAAAAATTGGCCAGCTTTCCAGGCAGAGGCATGGGATTACAAAAAGGGTAACTTTCATTTTGGCCAAAATAAAGGATAAGCATTTGGGAAGAGGAGACACCAAGCTCATCAGCCAAATGCCGCCTGAAAGCAGGCAGACAGGACTAGGCTCAAGGATCTAGAAGCAACTCTGCCCAGAGGACACTTTTCTCCCCTTCCCCCTCCTCCCCATTCCCCTCAGGTCCAGTCATTAATCCTCTTATGCAGTTTGGGCTTTCCTTCACCTAATCCCTGTTCTTTGAGAGAAATCTGCCTCCCTTCATCCTCACTTTCCTCTACCTCAATTTGAGGAAGCTGTGGCAGCCAGATCTTTTCAGCTCCCTGGCTGCTGAGAAGAGGTCATGAGCAGCACAGCCTTTTCTTGGCTCCAGCAGGGAGGGAACTGGGCTCTGACCATGATTGTGCCTTCAGAGCTCATGCAGAGCTCTGGATATAGGCCTGGGATAGCCTAATGCCATTAACCTAGAGGAGATATGTAACTGAGATGCTAGCACAAGAAAAGAGGGATGATGAGGGAGGAGAGAGCGTGAAAGCAAGACTCAGGAAGAAGACAGGCACAGTTAGCAGCTGCTTTGGTGAGAGGGAGGGGTGCAGCCTGATTGAACTCATGGGTACTCAATCACTGAGCTACACACCAGCTCTATTTTGTATTTATTTAGAGATAGGGTCTCATTGAGTTGCTAGTACCTCACCATTGTTGAGGCCAGCTTTAAACTTGTGCTTCTCCTGCCTCAAACTCCCAAGCCACTAGAATTACAGGCGTGCGCCACCGCCACCGTGCCTGGCTACTAACACACTCTTAGAGCAATTTAAATAGCATGTCGGGAACCAAACAAGATTCTACTGGGCGTGGATGAAGGGAAGCATGGAAAGAAAAGGGAAATACTCCTTGCCATGGTTCCTGCTCTGGGTTCCCTGTGCTCCTGAAAGAGCAGCCTTGGTGGGGGGACACTGTGCTCAATGCTGGCTCACCCGCACTTTGGCCTGTCTTTGCGCTTCTGCCTCCACAGCCAGCGAGTGTTGAAGCCCAGCCGGCAGCCGCACATCCTTACTGCAAAAGAAAGAAGGTGAGCGTGTAGATGTGCAGCCTTGGCCAGACTTTTCCTCAGATTTGCACTCTCTCTACAGGAGAGCAAATGCTGACAACAGTGTGCTATCCCCAGAGCCCTAAGGTGGCAGGGAGGTGGAGAGAGCACATCCCATGCCGTGCCTCCAGTGTAGGTGTGGAGCACTAGTGAAGCCAGATTTAAAGTTAGGTAGTCAGTGTAGTTAGGTAAATTGGGTCTAATATCGAGTGAAATCTAAAATGGAGGCCATGCTAGGAATGACTCAGGGAAAACAGGACAACTCATGGAATGTTAATAAAGTTCCGAAAAGGCCCTAGGCCAAAGTCTACCTGGAAGAAGTGTTAATGAACAGCCCCCAACAGATTTGGAGATAGCCCATTCCAGAGAAGTGATAAACCCATCTCAAAAGTCCTTCCTGCCCTTTCGGCCCACTGGTGTCCCACCCCTCGGGCCCTCCAACCTACATTCCATCACCAAACCTATAAAAAGGGGAACACATTGCCCGCTAACTGGATTCCACCTTTTGGGTCCCCTTCTTCCTTCCTCTTCTGTCCTTTAATAAATTTCTAATCTCTACTCTGACCTTGCCTCGGTGTGCTTCTTTGGTGTTATTCTTCAACATTGGGGAGCAAGAACTCGTCACCGGTCAACAGCGGTAACACTAGTGTGGCTGCAGAGGGACTACAATGACCTGGGTTGTAATCATTTTTCCCACTTAAGATTTAATCTAACCACCAGTGGTTAAATTTGAATATGGGGGGCTGGGGATGTGGCTCAAGTGGTAGCATGCTCGCCTGGCATGCGCGGGGCGCTGGGTTTGATCCTCAGCACCACGTAAAAAATAAAATAAAGATGTTGTGTCCACTGAGAACTAAAAAATAAATATTAAAAAATTTGAATGTGAAATACAGCCTTGAAGAGCTAAAAAATTAATAATGAAGATAAGGGGCATTCATCTAAGTTTATAAAAGAGAAAAAATTGATTTTGAAATGAGGATTGATTAAATAAGAACAATCTTACTGTATCACATCAAAGATACAAAAGTATCTCTTTATCCCAATGATAACTGAAAAATTCTCATTGAGCAGTTTCTCAAAAGATTTATAAAGTTACATGTAACCAGTAACACTATTTCTAAGTATATAGCCAAGAGAACTAAAAACATATTCACACAAAAACTTCCAAATGAAAGTTTATTGTGGGGGCTGGGGAAGTGGCTCAAGCGGTAGCAAGCTCGCCTGGCATGCGCAGGGTGCTGGGTTCAATCCTCAGCACCACATAAAAATTTAAAAAAAATAAAGATGTTGAAAAAAAAAAAGAAAGTTCATTGTGACATTTTCCCTAACAGCCAAAAAGTGGCTGATGGATGGATAAACAAAATTTTGTATAGCTAGACAATGGAACTTTATTTGGCTATAAAAGAAATGAAGAACTGATACATACTACACCATGGATGAACCTTGAAAACATGCTAAATGAAAAGAAACTAGACACAAAAGGCTCAACATATGATTCCATTTATGTAAAATGTTCAGAATAGGCATGTCCACTGAAACAAAAACTAAATTAGTGGTTGCCAGGGGATGAGGAGCGAGGAGGAATGAGGAGTTCCTGCTTAATAAGAACTGGCTTTCTTTGGGGGTGATGAAAATGTCCTGAAATTAGATCAAAGGGACATCTGTAGGACTTCGTAAATGTCCTAAAACCACTGAGCTGCACTTTGAAATGGCTAAAAGGGTAAATTTTATCTTTTAAAAAAAGATTTTTTTTAATGCATAGCAAAAAAAAAACCCATGAGACTAATTTGCCCAAATGTCATAGTGGTTGTATTTTGGCTACAGGATATTACATAATTTTCCCTCTTTTTCTCTAAACTTATACTACTATGGCTATATTACTCAAAATAATTTTTCAAGGAAAAATTTTAAATGAAACCAAAGTATTTCCCTTTATCATATTGTTTATCATGATCATTTTCCTACCCACATTTCTATTCTCTCCACTTTGATTCCCCAAATACAGGTCACTGAATCCAAGGCAACCTGTGGAGGAAAAAAGATGAAAGGTCAGCAAGAGCCTGCAGGTAAGAACAGGGCACACCTGTGCCCCGATGGCTGTTCTGAACAGAGAGAGCCCATTTCCTTTGAAAGGATGTTTCATTAAATTCTGCAGTATCTGGCATGGGGCAATTTGACTTGGACAGTGCCACTCAATAAATATTTGTGGAACTAAAGATGGCATGGTAGGCTGAATAATGGCCCTAAGGATGTGCATGTCCTAGTCCCTACAACATCTCACTGTTACCAAGAGGGACTTCACAGAGGTGATTAAATCAAAGGTCCTGGAGATGGGGAGATTATGCTGGGTTATTCAGCTCAGCCTGAAATGTAATCATATGTGTCCTTGTAAGAAGGAGGCAGAGGGAGATCTGATACAAAGAAGTTGATGTGACCAGGGAAGCAGTTTGGAGTGGTACATTTTGAAGATGAAGGAAGGGGTGGAAGGGGCTGAGGAACATAGGTAGCCTTAAATGCTGAAAGGACAGGAAACAGGTTCTCCTCGAAGCACCTCCAGACAGAATCAGTCCTGCTGACATCTCAGCTTGAGCTCAATGAAACTGATTTCAGACTCTGGTCTTTAGAAATGTAAGAGAATAAGTGCATGTTGTTTTAGCTACCACATTTGTGGTAATTTGTTACAGAAGCAAAAGAAAAGCAACACAAATGGTATATTTGTTCAATTTGTTTTAAAATGTCTTTATTATTTTCTACTTAGTCTCCCTGCCAAGTGGTTGTCATTGATAGGGCACTCTGTATTTCTCACTGCTGGGAGACATCAATGTCCTCCTGCTTCCCAGTCTCCCCTGCCCTCCACAGTTGAAGCTAGCAACAGGAGGGGGAAGAAAAGCAATTTGGATTGTAGAAAGGAGGGGCAGGACACAGAGCCCTCCATGTTGGCCTGTTTATCTTTTAAATTACACAATGTCTGATTTTATGGAAAGCAACACACCTGTCTTTTTCTTTGGCCTTCATTTTCCAGACAGAGATATTCTTTCACTTATTTGAACAGTCTATGTGTGTAACACCCTTTGGACAAATCTTATTACACTTTTGTTATAAATGGGTGTATTTCCATCTATGGCTTTAAAACACAATTTTTACATTTTACTCTCCAGTTATCAGGCATTGTCTGAGAATATAATACAGCCATTAGCAAAGAGACCTCCCCTAAATTCTGTTTTGTTTTTCTGTATTGGGGATTGAACCCAGGACCTGTGCATGCTAGGCAAGCACTTTACAGCTGAGCTGCATCCCCAGCCTTTTTTTTGTTTTTGTTTTTTGTTTTTTTAATATTTTAGATGTAGTTGGACACAATACCCTTATTTATTTATTTATTTGTTTGTTTGTTTATTTATTTATTTTATGCTGAGGATCCAACCCAGGGCCTAGCACATGCTAGGTGAGCGCTCTACCCCTGAGCCCCAGCCCCAACCCCAGCCCCAGTCTTTTTATTTTGAGATGGGTCTTGCTAGGTTGCCCAGGCTGGCCTGGAACTTGTGATCCTCCTGCCTCAGCCTCCCAAGCAGATGGAATTAGACTTGTACTGCTTTTTTCTTTTTAAATTTAGTGGATGATTTCTTAGTGGCTAGATAAGTAATAATGCATTGAAAGCCCTGAGAAGACTGACTAATTTGAGAGGAAGGAATATTGATAAATACACCACAAAGGAGATGGCATCTTAAAGAATAAACAAGATTTTTTCCTGTGGAGAAAAGAAAAGAATCCCAAGCAGAGGAAACAGCTCAGGAGGAGGCAGGAAGCATAAAAGTGCTGGATCTGGGCAAATGCTAAGTAGGTTCCAGTGTTAGATTCAGTGGGGGAAGGACGGCAAAAGCTGAGGCTGTAACAGTTGTGTCCTTTCTTCATTCACCCCCCAAAATGTCTGCTGTGTGACAAGCCCCATGCCAGGTCTGAGGCAAAAGGATGAATAAAATATGGCACCTGCCATTATGGAATTCATAATCTGGGAAGACAAATGTATGGACACATAAATAAACTCAGCATAATAAGAGCAAGCTTGAATGTCAAGAGTCTGGACTCACACTACCCTTCAGAGGAGAGGGGTGAATAAGGGGAGGCTGAAGGATCAGTTGGGGGACCATGTCAAGTGGCTTCTAAAATCCAGAGCAGCAACTCCCGAGTGTCCTTCTTCTTTTTCTTTTTCCAGGTTCTCTTATTTTCAGACTTCCCTTTTCCATCAGGATGCATATCCCAGGTTTGTTTGTTTGTTTGTTTTGTTTTATTGTTGCTTTTTCTTTTCCTTTGTGGAACTGGAGATTAAACCCAGGACTTGGCAAATGTGAGGCAAGCACTTTGACAATCCCAGTTTTATCAGTAACAAGTTGGACAAGTCACAGACATTTGTACCCTGCATTTTTTTTTTCCAGATTAGTGACCGCTCAGTTTCCATAAAGCACAATCATCAATGCCTTTGATTCTTAGGGTCTTCCTATTTGAGGTCCTCCTTCTAACTAGGTCTGATTTGCAACCTCCTAATCCAATTCTGGGCCTGGCTGCCCCTATGGCTTGGATGACGGACTCAGTGGTAACTGCCACCTAGCTGGCCAGCTGCCTGGAATCCTGCTTCATTCTTGCTTGTCTTCTTAGTACCTCTTGCCAACTTGTCTTGGTAAGAATCAAGGGCGTCCACCATGGCCATGAATAAGATTCCTGTTTGCTACCTGTGGGCCAGATGAGACTGTTTGGGAGGCAGCTTTTACTCTATTCCTCCCTCTGCTAATTCTAAATCAATTAAATCTAGACAGTTGATTGGGTAATTAATCATGATAGGCTAGGAGACATCTTCCCTCTTCCCTCTGAAAGTACATAGCACCATTTCATTTTGTGCACACTGTGCTCGTTTCCTCAGCTAGGCAGGAAGCTTTGAGGAATCATGTCTTATCCTTTTTGTATACCACAACCTCTCCCATCCATCTCTACCAGCGCTGCCAGCAGCCTCTCCCAACACTTGGTACTATGTGAGAACTTCGCAATGAACTTAAAGTCACTGGGTGGCTTTTGGGGAAGAGTTGAGAGCAAACTGTTCACCAGGACTGGTGATTATAATTGATTCAGGTCACTTTGGCAACTTCCTAATTAGCTATAAGCTCCTTAGGGACAGCAACTTGAAGAGATTCAAGTGTGGCACATGGAAGATTTAATAAATGGCCAGTGAACAGATGATTAAAAGATATAGTTTAGAGCTGGGATTGTGGCTCAGTGGTAGAGTGCTTGCCTAGCATGCATGAGGCACTGGGTTCGATCCTCAGCACCATTTAAAAATAAAGATATTGTGTCCACCTAAAACTAAAAAAATAAATATTAAAAAATATACATTTAATATACTCAATATTAAACTTAGTAAGTACCTTTACATCTTGAGCAATGCTCTTCCTCTCTAGAAGAATTTCAGTGAGGGATCGGTGTGCCAGAAGACGCTTCATGGTGGTTTGCACAAGGAACTGGACAGCCTTAGACACATGAGCCAGGCTGCTTAGGAGAAGAGAGGCATTTTCCATTCGGTAATAGCAGATGGCATCTATCTCCATTATAAACATGTCTTTGGTTACAATCTAGGGAGAAAAACAGTTTGGATGACAGATTTGATCCGTGGGCTCTTTTCCTATGTGGAGAGAACTAAGTGTATGTAAAGTGAATTTTCTCAGAGTAAAATTATACCAAGAAAAAAAAACAGCTGAATTATCTTTTATTCAAAATATATATATGGTTTTGAAATTTATGGAGTTTTTTTATTAAATAAACAAAAGAACTCACGATTTAAATGAATTCTGTTGTAAATCCTTTTGTAAAGAAAATCAGGAATAATTTTCTTATTTGAAAACACTCAGTTGTTTTTATAGGTCTTTCTAAACTGATGCAAACAAATCTAATAACAGAGAGGCATGTTCTAGGATATAAGTGCTGTGAGCTGTAACGTGGTGCTTGCTGGAGTGTTCCCTAGAGGGCAATTTGGTGATGCCCATTAGTCCCCACCAAAAGCCTTAAAAGGGGGAGGGAGTAGAAGGGAAGGGCCATAGGGGTAGGAAAGATGGTGGAATGTGATGGTCATCATTACCCTAAGTACAAGTATGAAGACATGAAGGCTGTGACTCTACTTTGTGTACAACTGGAGATAAGAAAACTTGTCCTCTATATGTGTAATATGAATCCTAATGCATTCTGTTGTTATATATAACAAATTAAAATTTAAAAAATAAACACAGCTTTAACAGTTAAAAAAAAGCCTTAAAAGGTGCAAGTTCTCAACATTTGCATTTTTAGAAAACATTTATCAAAAGGACATATTTTAAAGATTTAGCTGCAAGAATTGTTACTTATACTATTACTTATTGAAATAAAACACTGGAAACAATTTATCATCAACAAGAGGAAATTGGTTGAGTAAACTGTGGTATGGCCACACAATGAAATGTTATGTGTCCATTTAAAATAAAGGGCTAGGAGCTGGGGTTGTGGCTCAGCAGTGGAGCACTTGCCTTGCACATGGGAGGCACTGGGATTGATCCTCAGCACCACATTAAACAAAATAAAGGTATTGTGTCCATCTACAATTAAATATATGTATGTATATGTATATATATATATGTGTGTGTGTGTGTGTGTGTGTGTATAATCACACATACACACACATATAAAATAAAATAAAGGGCTAGAAGCATAGCTAATATATGAAAAGATGCTTCTAGATTGTTGGGTAAAAAGGAGCATGTTATAAAAATCTTATATAGTGTGATATCTATATATACACCTATCTGTGAATATAACCACATACATAGAAAAGTTTGAAAGGATATACTCCAAAGTATCAACAGTTGTCTAAGGATTAGGGGTAAGTACAAGTTTCCAATGTCTTTGTTGTGTTAAAATACACGTAACTTTCCATCTTTAAGCATATACTTCTGTGGTATTAAATGCAATCACAGTGTTGTGCAACCATCACCACCAGTAACCTGCACTATTCTTTTCACCTTGTAAAAGTGAAACCCTATGCCCATTGACAACATCTCCACACTTTCCCCTCCCTCTTGTTCCTGACAATCACCTTTGTACTATATCTCTATCATTTTGATTACTCTAAATACCTAGAACCATACAGTATTTGTTTTTTGTGATTGCTTATTTCAATTAGCATAACATACTCAAGGTTCATCCATGTTGTAGCATATGTTGAGTCTTTTTAAAGCTGAATAATATTCTACTGCATGTACATATGACATTTTGCTTATCTGTTTATCATTTTATAGTCAGTTATTTTGCTCTTATGAATAATACTGCAATGAACACTGATGTACAAATATCTCTTCAAGATTACAAGTTTTACTTCTTCCTTTCATTCAATTTTATCATCTAAAATAAGCATTTTTAAAAAACAAAGTTTCTATTTCTCCAAGAGAAAGAATGAAAAAAAAAAAAACAACTCAGGCCAAAAGTAGGAGACTACGTAGGAAAGGCTTATAAATTTGAATCACCAATACAGATAGTAGCTAGGAGCACTGGCACATGGCTGTTATCCCAGCAGCATGGGAGGCTGAGGCAGGAAGACTGTAAGTTTGAGGTCAGCCTTGACAACTTAGCAAGATTCTATCTCAAAAATTAACAAAGAGGGCTGGGGCTGTAGCTCAGTGGCAGAGCACTTACCTAGCATGTGTGAGGCACTGGGTTCAATCCTTAGCACCACATAAAAATAAACAAATAAAGTAAAGGTGTTCTATCCATCTACAACTATAAATTTTAAAAAAGTTTAAAAGGTTAAAGAAATATATGAATATTATCTTTACTTTTAATTTTATAATTTTTTTAATTGTTGAAAAATATACATACATAAAATTTACCATCTTTTGTGTACAGTTAAGTAGTACAACTAACCTCTAGTACTCTTTTCATCTTGCACAACTGACAATTATTGAATAATAATTGTCCATGCCCCCTCCTCATATCCCCTGGGAAGCAACATTTTACTTTCTGTCCCTATGAATTTAGCTGCTCTAGGTACTTCATATAAGTAGACCCTTAATAGTTCTTTTCAATTAATTAATTGATTTTTAATTTTGTTTTAGTTGCAGATGGACACAATGCCTTTATTTATTTATTTTTATGTGGTGCTGAGGATCGAACCCAGTGCCTCACACATGCTTGGCAAGTCCTCTACCACTGAGCTTCCCCAGCCCCAGTACTTTTAATTTTTATTTTTTAGAGATCATGCTAAATGAAATTAAAAATTTTTATTTTTAATTTCATTTAGCATGATGTCCTCAAGATTCATCCATGTTTTAGAATATGTTAGAATTTCTTTCCTTTTAAAGGCTGAACAAATTCCATTATGGATTATATGCCACATTTTAAAAAATCTGTTCATCTATCAATGGACACTGCTTGCTTTGCTATTGGCTGTTGTGAATAGTACTGCTATGAACATACTTGTTCAAGACCCTAATTCTTTTTTTCTTTTTATTGGTGCATTATAATTGTACATAAGTGGTATTGTTGTTACTTATGCATACATGCACACATACAACAGTATAATTTGGTCAATTTCATTCCGCATTATCTCCCCTTTCCCTCAACTTCTGCTTCCCCCTGGTCCCTTTCTATTCTGCTGGTCTACCTATGCTTTTCATGAGATCTACCCGCAACCTCTTTTTTTTTCTTTTACTTTTTTCTCTCTAGCTTTCACATATGAGAGAAAACTTAACGACCCTTGACTTTCTGAGTTTGGTTTAACACTTAACATAATGTTCTCAAGCTCCATCTATTTTCCTCCAAATGACATAATTCTGTTTCTTTATGGCTGAATAAAATTCCATTATGTGTGTATACTGCATTTTCTTTATCCATTCATTGGCTAACAGACACCTGAGCTGGTTCCATAATTTGGCTATTGTGAATTGTGCTGCTATAAACATGGGCATGCATGTATTGGATAACACAATGACTTCAGTTCCTTAGGATAAATATTGAGGAGTGGTATAGCTGGGTTATATGGTGGTTCCATTTATTATGACAGGTAATCTGCTGTACTCAGAGTCTACTGATTTAAATTATAATCTCATCTAAATAAAAAAATTACCTGCACAATAACATTCCATTGTGTTTGACCAAATGAAGGTGAAATTACCTTAGGCTAGCCTAGTTGACACATAAGGTTAACTATCATAAAGTCCTTTGCCCTTTTTTTAGTCAGTATTTTTTTTAAACTATTCACTATCATTACTTTTTTTAAAGTCAGTCATTTTTTGTATTAAGAGGTATGAGTTTTTTGTATAGCCTGGATATTTACCCCTTGTAAGATATGTGATTTGCAGATATTTTCTCCTATTCCATAGCTTGCCTTCCACTCTGTAGATTGTGTCCTTTGATTCACAGAGTTGTTGTTGTTGTTGTTGTTTTTAATACTGATGAAGTTCCATAGGTCTATTTTTCTTTTCTACTGTTGAGCATAGAGATTTTGTCCTGGGCTAGAATCAATAGCTAGACTGTGGAAAATTTAGAGAAAGCAAAAGCCACCCTTTGGCTTACCTCATGGAAGGGTATCTCCAAGGTCTGGAGACGAAGGTCAACTTTGTGGTAGGTATCCAGGCAGGGCAAAAAGAAGAACAGGCCTAGAAGGGGGGGGGGAAGGAACAGGCAAACAGCAAGCATGGAGACTGTTTGGGGTTCACCTTTTCATGTTCAGGTTGTACACTGCATTGCTTTTCTTAGCCTGAAACTATACACAGATCATTGGGAAATCCCACTAATATCCTACAGCATCATTGTCGATGCTAAGTTTACCACCATCAGTATGAGACACTTGAGGGTAAAAGGAGAGCACTGTTACAATTTACTCCAGGTTAACAGGTATAAGCAGGGATTATTCCAAAAATTTGGGCTTTAATAATGGTGGTAACATTAGTCATGATGCTAACCCCTCCATATCTCTAGTATGTCTGTCCCTTCACTAGATTTGAGCTCCCTAAGTAACATCACATACATTATTGTTAGCCTTAGTGTCTCTGACTTGGTGCCTTTTAGGTAATCTATAAAATTGTTTTTTAGTCTATGAGTGTATCCATATGTCAAACTTTGCAGCCAGCAACCTCCACATGGTATTTCTTAAAAGGCGAGCCCCAAAGGTAATCATAATAGCAATATCATAATACTAGCTTCTATTTGGCAAGTTAGTCTTCACCTATCCAATATAATATATAGTAAATAATGGGCAATAACTATTTGTAGATTGATTATTGAGATTTTATCAAAAACCCTGGATGTTGTAGGCTCTTATAAGAGCCACAGTTTGTTGGAACCAAAAGCACTTCACAGAGCCCATGATTTATCTGGGGAGCCGACCACCTGCTGTTCTTTCTTGGCCCCAATGGAGAAAGTTCCAGAAAACAAGGAACACAGCAAGATCATCCATGTCCTGGAACTACAGGATCTAATTCTGTTTTTGTGGGAACCCATCTACTGGATTGGGTTTTTCAAACTCTGATTGATGTCTCTTAGTCTTGTCTCCAATCCCTACTTATTACTGCAGACCAGGATGAGAACTCAGACCTCTCCAATATATACACAGTGGGACTTTGCTCTTCCTCATGGCTTCCAGGCTGTCTTGAACCTCCAAACCCTAATTACGACACTTTCCAGAATAACCATACTTCTCTCTATACCCCATAACCAGCTTTGATTTCTGAACATAAATTCCACTAGATTTTAAAGCCCTAGAAATCAGAGACCATGTCTTACTCAGGCATTTTTGTATCCCTGGTAGTTAGCAGCATCTAAAATACAGACTTGTTCAATCTCTGTCTCTTAAATTTCAACATTAAAGACCAATTTATTACATAGATGCCTCTCTTCCTTGCCTTAGGCCCCCTGGATTCTCAACTAGCTCAGCTTTTCTCTGAGAATTCACAGGACTCTGACTGTACACATGTAGTACTCAAACTAGTCTCCATTCATGGATCCTAAGCTGATTTCCTATTGTAATCAGAATGCCCTGATGTGGGGCTCCCTGCATTCATCTTCTCCCTTGGCCACCTGTCTCCTGGTAGTAGAAGTTCTTAATGATCTGCATTGCAACTAACAGATTAGAAATGCAGATGAATCAAGTTACTTCATTGTATCTAAAGTCCATATTATAAAAACATAAAAATTGAAGTTGGCCAGTTGAGGGGTAGTGGAGATGGTGGTTTTAAAAAAAAAAGTGTGTGTATATGTTTCTTACCAGGGCCTTTGGGTCTTCCAGGAAGCAGATGTCCCAGTCGGAATATAATTACTCTCTCGTACTCTTGTACAATCTAAATGGAAATGTAATCCAAATCACTCTAAATAAGAATAATAAAGCATTCAAAATGCCTTAAAATGAAAGTGATTTTAGGTATCAGAAATCTTTTGTTTTGACAACGAAGAATAAACTTCTATTGATATTCAATATTCTAAAATTTATACCTAGTGTGGAATTTTAGAAACCAATGAAAAAGTATATTGGCTATCTGAATTTTTGAGTCTAAGGATAGAAATTTGATTAAAAACTCATTATCATCTAAAAAGTAATGTTTCCACTATATTCAATCTTTCCTAAATCAAATATGATCAGAGCATGTTTAATCTTGTAGTTTTCTGTGACTTCTGCCTTATCAAGCTTTTATATGTATCATTCATTAACTGTTTAACAAAAAGATGCAGTATATTTTAATACCACTTGTGATACTTTGTTTCACAAATAACACAAAGTTGTGATACTTTTCAATTTCTCTAAGGCTGATTCAAAATGATCCAATTGGATTTTAATTAGTTAATTCTCATGAATCTCAAAAAATTGAATGTACCCTGAGCATGTGTAGAAATATTTTTAAATGACAAAAAGGAGATTCACTGTGTAGAACAGAACAGGAAAGTTACTGCATATTACTTTAAAAAAGATACTTTCTGTTCCAGTATCAGAATCTGAGTTCTGTTGCTTGTTTTTCATTAACTTAGTTGATGAGTTTGTTTATACATATACCTCACAAGACTCTGAATTCCTTGATGATACAGAATTGATTTTTTTCTGAGTGCCTAAAAAAATGCCTGATACATAGCAAGTATTCAGTGAATTTATTCATTTAGTAAGTGGATAAAGAAATTATTTGTGACTGTTGCCAAGTTTATTTTCCTTTGCTTATTGGAACAGTGAATGAGAATGAATGATTGGGTTTGATTCCTAGAGCATACCCCAGCATTTCTCAGCTGCCTAGTTTCTACCATTACTTGTTTCTTTGTTGGAAAAAAAAAATTTCCTCCAGAGATTAAGGGAAACCTTACTTCTTCAAGCCTTGCTCAAATGTAACTACTCAATGCTGCTTTTGTGTCCCCTACCTAATTTAGACGGTTCCTAAGGTTTACCTTTGATGGTGCTGGGGCTTGAACTCAGGGCCTTGTGCTATGCAAGCACTCTACCAACTGAGCTGTATCTCCAGCCCTGCTAAGGTTTACCATCTTAACTAAATAAACCCAACAGCCTTTTCCATAAACCATGGTTGAGTCAGTACTGGACCCTGTGATGATCATGTAAGTGCTCAGATCACACCTCAAGAAGAGCCTGCGGCCTTGCCTGGCCTGCCTGAGGCTTTGGGTTCAATTCTCACTCCACCAAAAAATGAAAAGTGAAAAGGAGAGCCTGCTGCCAACTGTATGCTGTCTCAAGGAGACACATTTTATAGTCAAAGACGCAAGTAGGTAGAAAGTTTAAACGTGGAAAAAGACAAGCCCAACTCTCATTGAAGGTTTCCCCTAAAGCCTGCTTTTGTTCTTTCTCAATCTCACCCAGGCAATACCTCCAAAAAATTCTTTGTACTTCTAATTTCATCTTGTCATGTGCTTCCTGAACTGACACAGATCTTCATTTTCTTCAGGGACTGGAGTTGTATGGGCCAACTGTGGGCCAGAGACAGTGGCCCCTCATGGTCTAGGGCAGCTGCTGGTAAGTTTCTGGCAGTGTAAGGAGCGCATGAGAGGATATCATGACCTGTTCTGGGCTGGTCTTTGTGTTGGAGTGGGAATGAACCAGTGGAAACCCTTGAAGGGTCTCCATCTAATGATAGAGTTGATCTCAGCAAGCATTATATGTGTGGTACGGGCTAGAATGAAGTGAAGGCCGAGTGATCAGGAGCACAGGGAAGGGAGCAACAGACTAGAGGAGTCGAGGAAGGCTTCATGGTAACATCTGAGCCAGGTCTTGAAAGAGGACCACCTTCTGGAGGGCAAGTGGGCATGAGGGCATGGCAGTGGACCAGCAGCAAGTTCTAAACACAGAGCATGACCCAATATGATCAGAAAGAGGCACCAGGAAATAAATGAACTGTTGGGTCCTCATGGAAACTCACCTTTATGCAAAACCAGATAGAAAAAGGGAATGTCAGGATGATGAAGAGCAGGGAGGCAAGGACAAGAAGCCACTCACAGGCCCCTAAACCAGAGGACTTGGTACCTAAAGAAAGAAAAAAATATTGAAACCTCACCATTTTAACTGATTAGCACTTGTCAGTCTAGTCCTTGGTATTGAGTCAGAGCAGCTTGGAGACATTGCTGGAAATATTGGAATGAACCAGACATCAGGGTGGTCAGAGTTCACAGGGCCTGGGGTCTGCATGGAAAGCCATGTGGGCCCGTGGAAGGTGGTACAGGCTCCTGGAAAGGCACTGGGGTACAGGGGACCAGAGTACCATGGGTTCCCATTCTGGCTTTCTCATTTCATGTCCATAGATAATTTTATGCCGGACACAGGACCTCTTCAAATCTCAGTTTCCTTACCAGTACAATGGGGATGTTTGCTATATTGTAAATATTGCACAATAACTAGCTCATGAAATAGATTTCATATCTATTTCAGTGTAAGGGAGATATGAAATCTCACATAAAAACACTGAACTGTACTTAACGTGTGTCGGGTTTCAATATTCAAAGTGTCCAGAGTCTTACCTTCCATGAAATAACTTTCCTACTCACTATCTGCCCTAATGTCTGAAATGCCTTTGTTAGAGTTCCTTCATTGGATTGAGGTGATGCTGTCTGGTCCTTGAACATCCCCTGTGTGGGATGACATTAGACCATTAGAGTCTTTGAACAAGCAATAAGGAAGGATGCAGAACATCCAGGATGCTTGAGTGGTAGTGAAGTGGCGTCAAGGAAAGTCAGCCTCAGGAACACAAGTTCTTCTGGTCCTATCATGTTTACATTGCATCTCCAGTGCCTGGAATAGTGCCTGACACAATGCAGGTGCTCAACCATTGTTGAATTAGGAAGGAAGGAGAAGTGGATAGTGAAAATGATTTAAATGTAATGTAAGTCTGAGTTGTGGAAATCTAAAGAATTTTATTTTCCAGGTACTAGAACACTGTCCAAAAGGATACTATTTGCCAGTTTAAAAATCCCACAGAGAGGAGCTGGGGCTGGGGCTCAGTGGTAGAGGGCTCGCCTAGCACGTGTAAGGCACTGGCTTTGATCCTCAGCACCATATAAAAAAGTAAACAAATAAAATAAAGATATTGTGTCCATCTACAACTGAAAAAAAAAGTATGTTTAAAATAAATCCCACAGAGAACTTAAAGATGACTGAAAGTGAGCAAATGGTAAAAAGCCTATTTTTAAAGGATCAAAAGGAAATGGATACTTAATTGGTAGGGCTAAAAATTCAAATTCCACAGCTAGGCACAGTGGTGTATGCCTGTGGTCCCAGCTGCTCAGAAAGAGGCTGAGGCAGGAGGGTCACCTGAGCCTAGGTATCTAGGCCAACCTGGGACTAGTTTCTTAAAAAAAAAAAAAAAAAAAAAAAAAAAAGTTGTTCTTCTTGAAATTGAATTCCACGTCTGGAAAGGTCTTCACTGAGTTACTTAAAGAGGACACATGTGCAAGCTGCACCAGCACTAATGCCAAATCTGCCCTAGTGTGGCAATTCCCAAAGACCTTTCCATAAAATACCAGTCCCAGAGTGTGCTCCACAAGGAAAGTTTTTGGGCAAATGGATTTAGAAATATTGGGCACTGTATCCCATTCCTGGTATTCCCAATGTCCATCAACATCTGGAAGCTATGAGAATCCCTATAGTAAAAAATCATTCTTAGCTTTGTTTACTCTAGTGGTTTCTAAACCTTTGACAAGGTAATGTTTTCTCCAAGGAACACTCATTGATGTTCTATGGAACTTATTTATCACCTACATTAGAAAATGCTGCTCTATAAACATTGTTAATTTTTATATTCTTATTCTTCAATGGCAATGACTAATAGTCATTTTAGTTTATATTTGTATAAATGAATTTCAGTTTATAATTGCATTTCAGTTTCCAGTGGTCACAACTATCACAAGTAAAAATCAAGGCACATATGAACAAAATTATGTTTTATAAGTGAAAAAAGTTCTCAAAAGTTCCTTCACTCAGTAATTACGAATGTGAATAGAAAACTAATTTGTATACTCAAAGCTTTATCCACAAAATATTTTTCTCTTGGAATGAGTTGCTTGAACATCCAAATTGTTTGATTTAAGTGAATAAGGAAGCATTACATGTTAAAGCAGGAAGAGTCTTTAGACATATCCTGAGAATACCCAGTTGTGGTAAGGTGACACCCCTTTTCAATTCCCTCAAGTCCCAAGAAGTCTGCCTTTGGAGTGAGGTGCTAAGTCAGAAGAGAGAGGAATGCTGCGCCCTGTTCCCACAAACACCTCTCAGGCAAGGGCTGCCTCATCTTTAGTGGTCTTTCTCTCTCACTGCTTGGGATCTTCTGCTCTAGCCACTTTCTTATTGGTGAGACTAAGGCCCACAAGGTGAATCAACCTGCTTAAAACCATAGCTAGTCAGTTTGAGTGCTGGGACATGATCAGAAACCAAGAGCAGGCTATGTGAAGGAGGGTACTTCAGCCAAAAGGCCTTATTCTAGAAGTCTAGCTGTTCCACTTCCCAGCTATTAGGGTGTGTGTGTGTGTGTGTGTGTGTGTGTGTGTGTGTGTGTGTGGTGTGTGTTACTGGGGATTGAACTCAGGGCCTCATGCAGGCTAGGCAATGGCTCTACTGCTGAGCTATATGCCCACTCCTTTTTTATTTTGAGACAGGGTCTAGTTATATTGTCCAGGTTGGCCTCAAACATCTGATCCTTCTTCCTCAGCCTCACAAGTAGCTGGGATTACACATGCCACTGCCCCAGGCTCCAGCTATAGATTTTGGGCAAGATATTTAATTTCACAAAGCATGTTTCCTCAACTGTGCTAAGAGGATAATGAAGGACTAAATAAGTAAAGTAAAACACCCAGGTGTACTTGGTACATAGAAAGGGCTCCATAAATGGGTGCTCCCTTCCTTGCCTACCCCTCTAATATGATCTGCTACACAATATAAGATTACATGCTGGGCTGGGGTTGTGGCTCAGTGGTAGAGCGCTCACCTAGCACATGTGAGGCCCTGGGTTCAATCCTCAGCACCACATAAAAATAAATAAACAAAATAAAGGTATTGCGTACAACTAAAAAATAAATATTAAAAAAAGATTACATGCTATTCTTCATTTGCTTCCCTTTAAACATCTGTCATCCTACTGCTTAAGGTATAATGAATTTTTTTCCCATTCATTATGAAAAGGATTGGCTGTAGTTAAATTTGTTCCTAAGATTTGCTTTCTCTACAGAAGGGAAAAGGAACACCTTTGTTTGCATTCCCTCCTTTGATCTGATGTTCCTCTCTTTTAGCTTGCAAGGATTCAGCTGAAACTGATCATGTTCTTTGTTCTAGGCTTTGTGCAAAGTGGGAGCTTTTGCTCATTTTACCCTCACAACTGCCTCTAAGGCAGGAATTGGGATTATCTGATCCATGGTGGAGGCCCTTCCTATATAACGTGGCTAGCAAGCTGTGGAGCTGATTTCAACTCCGGTCTGGCTCTTCTCTACTTGGCGATGCAAGTAGAGAAGGCGATGCCTTTCAGAAAGAATGATCATCCCAAAGAAAGTTTAAAATGCTTTTACATAAGACTGAGGGGAGGAAAATAAGCCATAGTTGCTCAGAACCAAGGCTCAGATACATTTTTATTTATATCAGGTGCCCATTTGCCCTTCTGTGACCACAAAAACCAACTTCATTGTTCCTTTGCCTGTCAATTGGTCCCCAACCTGGGCCACACTCCCTCCAACTTCCCATCCCTTTCTGCCCCCTGAGATCAGCAGGTACCTGGATGATGTTGCTATTTTTATTTCTTCTGATGCACTTTGGTCTCCATCTTTTGGGGGGGGTGCTGGGTGCCTAATGCACACCTTTCATTTCCTGGAAACCCCAGCTTTCAACAATCTGCTCTGGTTTGATGGTTTTCACTGGGGTAACATTTCACCTTATCTGACATCCTTTGGGTACCACTTGGAAAGCCGGCTTTCCTCCCGGATGCCCGACCTGCACCTCAATACCTTCCTCCAGCCGCTCGCTCTCCAGCAGCGCCACCACCTCGGTGCCTTCCTCACCGGAGCCCCGGACCTCGTCCACGTCCACCACGGTGGCGGCGGGCGCTCGGGGTTCCTCTGGGCTCCCCGCGCGCCCGGGGCTCCGCCGCTCGGACCTGCCATCCCGCCGCCCGCGGCCGCCGCCCCTCTCGCCCTTTGCCCTCTTGCTCTCCTTGGGGGTGGGCCCGCCGCCTCGCCTGGGGGCCTCTCTGGAGGAGCTGCGTGCCCTCCTCTCCATCCTCACGTCGGCGGAGTGCTCGTGCGGCCGTGGCGGACGCCCCGAGAGCGAGCGCGGTCCTTCCGAGTCACCCCCGGAGTCGCTGGTGGAGTGGGTGGACTGGGCAGCGAGCGCTGGCCCTAAAGACACCCCGAGAGGTGGGCGGGGCGAGGGTCCTGGGGCGGGGCTCCGCCCACCTGGAACCCCGACCGCTGCTGCCCACCCCCAAGCCTGGGTGCCACGCTGACGCGTTGGGGCCGCGGTGGCTCCAAGCCTGCGTCTCAGAGGAGGGTCTGAGCTGCAGAGATGCAGTCGCCGGGGCCCTCCGAGCCCTCAGATTGCTGAAGGGCCGAGGGCGCTCTGCTTTGACTTGTGAAGACGGTATGAAACAGGGTTTGTGGTCCTAGGTAACGCTGGAGTTTCAGTCATCAAATTAGGGTGACTTTAAGGTAAAATTAGGCACTTCTCAAGTGCCTTCCTTCTTTGAGAATTCACAGCGTGTGTGTCTGTCTCTGATTTCTCATTTTTCAGTACTGGGAATTGAACCCAGGGGCCTCTACCACTCACCTACGACTCCAGCACCCCTCCCCTTTTAAATTTTGCTAAATCTCTGAGGCTGGCCTATAATTGCAATCCTTCCACCTCAGTTTCCCTAGCAGCTGGGATTACTGGTATGCGGCTCCACGCCTCATATCTCTCTTATTTATTTTTATTAATGCATAATCCTGTTGGTGATATAATGCTTCTTGAATCGCAGAAGGGAAGGGATCCGTTTTAATTTCTGTTTTGTAGGAAAGGGTCTCTTTTGTCTCTGTCTAGGCCCTATTTCCATGCTTCCTTGAAGTTCTGCTTTTCCGAGGTTTACTGGCCACACTGCTTTCAACAGGAAATTTGGGGGGGGGGGCAGTTCCACCTGCTTTGGAGGAACTTGAAATATCCAGGAGATTTATTTCTCTTTTACTCCATTAATTATTTGCTTCTCATGGGTGGGTGGGTGGTCTAAATAACCCTTCAAGCAAGATTTAGGATTCTTCTCAAGTAGCTCAGATCCTATGCTAATAGAAATAATATTCATTTATTCTTATTTTTCAATGTTTTTTTGAGCTCACATAGTGATAGCTTTTTCTTTCTCAAAAACATTGTTAAAGAATGAAGATCTAAAGTAAGTCAGACAGATCTGGAAAATCTGTCCCACTACTTTCCTCCTCTGGTCCAAGTTAGGCTGTTGGGAATACAGTAATTAAATATTTAGTAACAAAATAATTTAGGTTTTTGTTTTGTTTGTTTGTTTTACTCTCTGAATCTGATTATTGCATGGACTACCTCTCAAGTGCTGATCTCAAATAATAGTTCTTGTCCAGATGCTACATTGAGAAAAACTCTGAGGCTACATTTGGCCCACAAAGGAAAAATGATTATAATTATTTAGTATTTCTCCAAGTTAATATTTGCTATTAAACATAGATAGTTTCTTCATCATACTATAGAAATTTCACTATTCGGAAAAGCACGAATTTTGTTTTAATTTTTTGGCTGTGATGTAGATTGAACCCAGGGTCTCAGGTATACTAAGCAAATGCTCTACCACTGAGCTTCATCCCCAGCCCATGTAACAATATTTGTGGCACTTGTTGATTTTTTTCTTAGCCTTTGATTCTGTCACAAAATAATTTGATCTAGACCTCTAGCTATAGACTCTTACACCAAAAATTGCACCTCAATTTTTACTCAAGAATGAGCAGGGAAATGACCAAATGATAGTCTCCAAATAAGACAGAGAAACTTACAGGAGAAACTGTGAAAATGTGCCCTGCTAGGCACTTAGTATCAATCCTCTTTACTCCATGGACTTCTGACAAATTATATAATTATTACTTCATTTTCTATATCCATATCTAGAGTAATGTAAGCACCTGCTCACAAGTTTGTTGGGATTATAAATAAACATGACAAATATCTGAGAAAAGGCATCACATTCCATGGTAAAAAGGCCAACATAGCATCTCTGGAAGGTGGAGGAGTTGGGAGGGAGTGCTGAGTCAGCCCATGTGCCCAGCAGACTGGCCTCCTCTGTCCTTATGGTCACACTGCTGTTTTCTTTTAGCTTCCTTTTTAATTGGAAGTGTTGCTTATCCCTTTGCTGAAAATATTCTATGTGCACATTTTTCAACCCTTAATAATTTACTCCTTGTTTAGATGTGTTAAGAGATTGACATCTGTAGTACTAAAAGAAGGGGAGGACTAATTAACATTGTTGACTTAGGAGTTTGTTTCCAAGATGAAAGGTCAAGGAAGATTGCAAGATTTTCTAAATCATTATACTTACCCCATTTCACTTTGAAATATTATATCCATAATGATAAGCAAGAATGAATATTGATTTATTTGGATAATTTAATGAAAATACTAGAATTTGTTGGCACTAGATAAAATTGCACTTATTATTTTAGAGCTGAAACCCATAAGGATTTGTTAAATTTGACTTTCTCAATCTATAGACAGAAGAGAGACCAACTAGGAGAGCAGAGTGATGTTCTAGGAAAGTGATGTTGCTGAGGGCCTGATGCAAGGTGCTAGCCTAGAAATGGTCTGGGTTTAGGACATCTCTCAGTAGAATGCATTTTGACACATCATACATAAATTGAGCATAACTTCTCATTCATCTGGTATTACATAATGTAGAGTTACACAGGTCATGTAATCATATATACATATAAGGTAATAATGTCCAATTCATTCTACTATCATTCTTACCCCCATGCACCCTCCCCTTTCTTCCTCCCCTCTGTCTAGTCTAAAATACATTTATTATCCCCCCCCCCCCGCTCTTATTGTGAATTAGCATCCACATATCAGAGAAAACATTCAGCCTTTGGTTGTTTGGGATTGACTTATTTCACTTAGCATACTCCAGTTCCATCCATTAATGAGCAAATGCCATAATTTAATTCTTCTTTAAGGCTGAGTAATATTTCATTGTGTATATTTACCACAATTTCTTTATCCATTCATCTGTTGAAGGGCATCTAGGTTGGTTCTATAGCTTAACTATTGTGAATTGAGCTGCCATGAACATTGATATAGCCATTTCACTATAGTAATATGCTGATTTTTAAGTCCTTTGGGTATATGCCAAGAAATGGGATAACTAGGACAAATAGTGATCCCATTCCAAATTTTCTAAAGAATCTCCTTATTGCTTTCCATAGTGGTAGCACCAATTTTTAGCAGGACCTCTCTCTAAGGAACAGAATAAACAGAATCATGGGGTTATGGAATGCAGCTCATGAGGGGATAGAGGGCTTGAGAAAGACTGAGGCTTCATCCTTAGATATAACTGCTGCTTCTTTGGCAGATCCATTTCCCCCTAACTAACCTACCCGCAGCATCCTAAATTCTTGCTCCCTTTTCCTGGAGAGGCAGGTATTGGATAAAGTGGTGAGATAAAACTTACTTGACTTTTCTCATTAATTCACCCTACAGTTACTTAGCAAACATTTCCTTCATGGTTAGCAATGCTCATTGCTGAGGTCTAGATGAAAGAAATTCTGCCTGCCCTCCAAGAACTCACAGGGAGAGACATATGTAAACAGGTGCAAGAATGTGTTGTCCACTTAGTGATAGAGAGGATGTATCAAGGTTTCTCTTATGGACATTTTGAGCCAGATGATTCACTATTGTGGGGACCACCCTGTGCAGTGTAGCATCTTTAGCAGCATCCTTAGCCTCCCATTAGATGCCTGTAGCACCTCACAGCTACTAATGTATGACCACCAAAATTGTCTCCAGCCATTGCCATGTGTCTTGTGGGATCAAAATGGCTCCTGGTTGAGAACTTCTGATCTATACTGTACTGTGAATCCACAAAGGAAGAAATTGGTAGTTCTACCTGAATGGATTCAGAGGAGGTCCAGTTTGGGTCATATTAAGAGATGTGGGGGTGACCCTGAACTTTGAGAGCTGGGCCTTCCAGTCAGAGGGATCAGAACAAAAGACAATACCAGGCAAATGGCTAGTGAATCAGTGGCTTGACAGATTGGTGAAAGAGAACGGTGGTAGGCAGTCCAAGAAATGAAAAGCTTTTTACACCATGTAAGAAATTTTGATTTTATCTTATAGGCAAAAGAAGTCATTGAAGCATTTTAAGAAAGGAACAATATGGTTGGATTTGTAATTAGAGTAATGTTGTGGACAAGGTGAAGTTGAATGGAAATGCAAGTGGAGCCAGAGAGACCAAAAAGAACATTCTTGTGGTAATCCGGATGAGAGGGAGGATGGGTTTAGAGGAAAAGGTGCTGACTTGTGGGACTGCAGTCAAAGTAACTGGTGAACAGGGCTAACATCCAACAGAGGGAATACAAGAGAGGTAAGGAATTTTGTTTAAGGGTAGGTGGGCACATAAATTCAGTTTCAGATGTACTGAGTAGCTAGCAGTGTCTACAGGATGTCTATCTGGAAACATTCAGTAGAGCACTAGATTTTTGGGTCTCTGAAGCTCAGATAGATGGTGTTTCTGTAGCCCAGATCCTAAAACTTTCACCAACTGCCAACTGAGGCTGTAGCATCTTCAGCTGGGAACAACACATGCAAAAGGGTCCCTGGCCAGCCGTGGCTCTGATATATCTCAATTTAAAATGTCTGTTCCTGTGGCTGGGGTTGTGGCTCAGCATGTGGGAGGTGCTGGGTTTGAACCTAAGCACCACATAAAAATAAATAAAATAAAGATATTGTGTCCAACTACAACTAAAAAAAAAATGTTCCCATCACTAAAGATATATTTCCTATTCTTAGTGGCTTGTGTGATCCTGACAATTCTATGTTGTCTCATCCATTTCAGTATTATGGAAGAGAGAAAAAAAATATTCTTCCAATATTTTCCAATCCTAGAGTCTTTTCCCACCATGGCAAACGTAAAATAATACTATTTAAATGGAATATTGGAGGAAACTTGAGGGGACTTAAGAGTATCTATATGGAAATTGATGAGAAAAAAAAATATATATATATAAAATTTATTTATTTACAGTGCTAGGAATCAAACCCAGGGCCTCACACATGTTAGGCAAGCATTCTACCACTGTGCTACACCCCAGCCCTTAATTATATGGGTGAGGGTTAAGAAAGTATTAGGCATTTAATATTGTTAGATTAAATGTTTATACAAATACTTTCAAAATTTAAAATAGTCTTGACTTTGTTTCTTCAAATATGAATTTTATGTTTGAATGGCTACATGAAATTCCTAATCAAATTTTTTTAATGATTAGCTGTTAAAATCTTTTGTTACCATCAATGAGAGATGTGTTCGCACAATGTAAAATTTTTAAAACCATTTTTGTAGTCACAAATTTACAACGGATGAACTTAAAGAAGGTTAACATCATCCAGTCAATAGACAGCATTTGTATATACTCATAAGTCTCTAACAATATTTTCCCTTTGCTTTAGTTAGTGTAAAGAAAATACATTGTATAAGCTAGCAGTGTATGTAGGCATTACTAACCTGGATTCAGGATTCTATAGAATTCAAGGGCTTTGTGTCTGGAGAAAATCAAACTTGTTTTTGTTGTAAAGGTCACAGTGGTTATGGAGCTCCCAGATTTAAAGGTACAGTTTTCTTTTTCCCTTTCCTGATGGTCTCCTTTGTACCTAGCCTTTCCTCTGTCCTACCTCACTAGGATCACATCTGGCACACAGTAGGAACTAAAAGGCATTTGTTTCTTGAAAGAACATGTCTTTTGGAAGGCACCAGCCAAAGCTAAAACGGTGAAAAGGTCACCCAGAAAGAGGGGGAGGAGTAAAAAGAAGAGCTAAAGACAGATCCTCAATTAAATGTACATGTGCATTTAATGGAGCAGCAGAAGTAGGAAACAGGATAGAAAGCTGGGAGCAAAGTCCATATGGCATCATCATAGAAACCACCAGAGGAGAGATTTTGCAAGAGTGAACAGCAGAAATCAAAGATTGAAAAGTCCATGTGATTGGCCAGTGAGAAGATTTGTCGTTGATTTTGGTAAAACTTCAGAAAGATGCCCTAAATAGCAGACTCATTGCTTTGTATTAAGTGGTAATGGAGGGAAAAGTGGAAAAAACTGAGTTTGGACTGCTTTTCAAGGATTTGGCCAGGGAGAGGAGAAAGAGGGGATATAGGTCAAGGAAGTGTTTCTCTCTTTCTCTCTCTCTCTCTCTCTCTCTCTCTCTCTCTCTCTCTCTCCCTCTCTCCCTCCCTCCCTCTCCCTCTCTGCATGTCTGTATATAAGATAAAAAGGATCAGAGCATAATTTTATGTTGCAGGACTGTAAAGGGATGTTGAACATCCATGATTGTGTAATAATGACCAAAGGACAAGGTTCGTGGTCTAGAGGTGTTGGGGGATGGGATCAAAAATAGGATGGATGACTCCCTCACCCACTGAGACCAAAAGGAAGGACGGGAAGATTTATAGGCCTGGACTGGAGTCAAGGGGAGTCATTATGAGAGCCTCTGTGGGAGCACAGCCATTTTCTAATGGTGGGGCAGCAGTGGAACAAGAGTGGTGGCAAAGGCATGGAGTAACTGCTGTGAAAAGGGACTTGAATAAGGACATCAAATGGCCCCATATTGGGCACAAAGTTGAAAAACTTGGGTGGCAGGAATGCTGGACTGACTTTCATGTGCGTCTCTGACCACTCCTTCACCATGTTCTTCAAAAGATCCTCTCATCCTTGTCATAAGGAGCTTATCAAAACTCCAGAAGCCTTAATGGACACAGAAACACAAAAAGGTCCTGCCTTTTCTTAGGCAAGAATGCTGGTGGGAGCAGCTGCAATTGAAATATTCTCCTAGTTGCAAGCAGGGCTGGGAGGAGACCAGGTGCAGGCAGCTAATTACTGGAGGAAAAGTAACCTCTGGTTGTTGTAAGAGATGGAGGGCAGGGGGACACATTGGTCTGATCCACAGAGCTCTCTGGTTGTTTGTAGTTAGTTAATTGTAAACACCCAAGGAATAAACAACCTAAGAAGTCATTTTGATTTATATGACAGAAAAAATAAACAAGCCAACAAAACAATTCTAGATCTAGGGAACAGAGGCCTCCCATAAGCTGGAGAGAGCGCCTTTCACTTCATTACTGGTACTAAATCAGACACCAAACCCATAGCTTTTTTGGATATAGCCCAGATAGTCTTGGAAAAGGATGTGGGCAAAATCCTGTACCTAAGACAACAAACTTTCCTCAAAGGCCTTGCAGTCCCTTGTGGATAGCTATTCAAGAGAAAAGAAAATACCCAAACTTTTTAGTGACCACCACTTGCTAATTCTAAGGAATGCTAATTTCTGGGACCTAAAATGTCACATTTTGCCATCAAGATTTTGAGCTTGTAGGGGCTAGTTTATAGGGATTGGGTAGTGAGGGTATAAATTCATCCTGTGGTACTGGACCCTGGCTGCCAAGCCAATAGCTGGAATAAATAAATGTAGCAACTGGCTGAATTCCTACATTGGTACACTTGTAGAGTAACGGCTGTTCTGAAAGGAAGTATCAACTGGGGTGCCAGAACCATACATCAAAAGCAATGCCACATCCCTAGAGAACTGTATAAGCAAGTGCTACCACCAGAGGAAAGATGTTACTATGATGGTTCCCACCTCATTGCCATCCACTTACTTCACTGTAAACTCAGTCAAGCTGTGGTTCCAATTCTAGCCACTTTTCAAATGGGCATGCTTCTTCTTAATGAAGCAACTTCAAACAGCTCCTGGTACTTGGTTTGCAATTGTTGATCTGGGATTTAGTTCCATCATATCTTTTTAAAAATCTGTCTCTTTTAAAAATATTATGACCTGTAAACTAAAGTTCTCCAAAGAAGCCACATCTCTATATTCAAGAGACTGCAGACTGTTCAGTGTTGGTTAAAATATGTAATTATAGGGCTGGGGATGTGGCTCAAGCTTGCCTGGCATGCGTGTGGCCCGGGTTCGATCCTCAGCACCACATACAAACAAAGATGCTGTGTCCACCGAAAACTAAAAAATAAATACTAAAAAAAATTCTCTCTCTTTAAAAAATAAAATATGTAATTATAGAAAGATGGATCAAGAGCCGTCCTTATGTAGGGTTATCTTTAGTTTCTTTTAATTTCTAGGTAAAATGCTTGGAGTATAAGTATATTAACTTTGGGGGAGTTCAAGCCTCCACTGATCCTAAAGCTAAGAATGTGATACATCTGAATTCTGTAAAAGATTTGCTAGCCTTGTTAAACATCTGAATCCTATAGGTTTCCCTACCTCTTTAAAGTTGATGACCCCAACTACTTTCTCTTGTGAGTACAAAAGCTCATTTAACTTATTCTACAGAGAAAACATGTTGTTCTGGTAACTTGAATTTGTGTTCCCTTGTGATGATCTCTCATATTTGGCTTAGAATAAGCCATTTTTAAAAACTTCCTTAAGGCAGTTATTTTCTGTCAACACAATTATAACTTTTTGATTCAAAATTTTTGTTTTTATTGTCTGATGTTTTTATTGTCTAATGTTTTTATTGTCTATTGTCTGTTCTTATATCCCTATTCATGTATGTATATTTAACGTGGGGATCACAATTACACCTTTCTCAGTTATTGGGAAGAAACTTATATAATACATAAAAAATATATCTATATCTCTTACCTTTTATCTCAGGTAATTGGGGATAAAAATCTGGGATATCTTTTTTTCAATTCATTGTTCATTTATCAATAGTCATTCTCAAGTCATTCAGTGAGATAAATTTTCTGAAACTTGGCATGACTGAGAATGGTTCTACTTTTCCCCCCACTTTAATGCTGATTTGACTGGGTTAAGGGTTCCAGGTTTAGCTTTGAAGGTACTGCTCCCTTGAAAAATCCAATGGTAATTTATTTTCCACTGCTTTCTAGATAACCTATTTCTATGTTAAAAAAAAATAAAAATCTGTTGATTCTCTTTCTCCTAGGCTGTCTAAAATGGGATCTTTGAAAAGTAGGTATTGTAAGGACTGAGTTGTCCCTTAAAATCTGAAGATGTGTTTCTGTTCAAATCTGGGACATCTCCTTTTAACTCCACAATGCTCACTACCATTCTTCCCCCCCCCTCATTTTTAAATTGGTGCATTATAATTATACATCATAGCATCCCCATTCTGTTCTTGTTTGTGTAACTTACGTCATTCAAATGTTGCAATGGCTGGGCGCATCTTCAAAATCTTATAATTTTTCCCTGTTTCTTAATTTGCTAATTAGTCCTGTAACTCTGCTATAAACCAGTTATAAATCTTGTTTATTTCCTGTCTTTCAGGGATCCTCAATATTCCTGGTTCGTTGGGCTTTAAAAACTGTGTATGTCATGGGGTTAGGCAGAACGTGTGTGTTCAGGTCTCTTGGGTTTAACTTGTTTCTTTGTACATTTTAAGGAAAAGTCTTGATGCTTCTCTATAAACTGTGTTCTGGTCTTCATGGATCTTGTAACTCTTGGCTTATTCCGCAGATAACAACAAACCGTCCAAATATATTCTTTTCTTCAGTCTCTCCATTCTAATCTCCAGTGGCACCTGGAGTGTTCACTCACTTCTCTCTCCAAGGATCTAAAGTCGCTTCTTGGAGCTCCGCAGTAATTCTCAGCCAAGAACAAGGACTGTCAGTGACACCCCACCCCCACCCCAATTAAACCTGGGCCTACTGCAGGGAATCTCTGCAGCTCAGCCCTGGGCATCCCTCTTTCCACTAATAACTCCACAGGTGCGCCTGAGGCGGACCCCGGTTAAGAACCACGCGGCCTCTCCCCGCCTGGCCTCGGGGCTGCTCCGCCCCGCACGGGACGTGCTTAGAGAGGTCCACGCGCCGCGAACCCGCTTCGTGTCTTCGAACCGCGTCGGAGGAGGTAGGCGCGGGCGACCCCGCAAGGCCACCCAGGGCGCCTTGGAGTGCGGCCAGCGGACCCGCACCCGGGATGGGCCCCAGGCCAGGCCTGGAGTGGCCGTCCTGTGGGGGCCGTCCCGCCCAACCGTCCCACCCGCCGCGCGCCCTCGGGCTGGAACGCGGCGCGCCCGGCCGCCCCCGCCCAGTCGCGCAGGCGCGGTTCCCCCGCGGCCCGCCGGCGAGCGCCTTCGACTCCCGCAGCCGCAACGGCAGCGCCGGCCACAGTGGGGCACCATCTGCCGCTCCGCGTCGCGGAAAGCCGTCGGGCAGGTGGAAAGTCGACACCGTAGTCCCGCTAGCGGCAGTGAGGGACGTTGGGGCAGGGAAGGGACCCGCCGCCGTCGCCGCCGCCCGGGCGGAGAGGGAGGAGGCGGGCGGAGATAGGTCGTTGGCTTGAGGTAAGAGGGAGCGGGAGCTTTCCCGGAGTTGGCTCCGGAGGGACGGAGTGTGTCGTGCGCACGTCGAGGACCGAACTGCGCGTGCCCAGTCCCCGGCCCCGGTCCCAACAGTCCTGGGTCCGTCTGGTACGAGGTGTGCAGCGGAGGACCACACCCCCGGAACCCGAGGTAGCGCTTCGGCAAACCACGACCGAGCCGGGCTGCGACTTCTCGCACTGGCCCCTGGCGGTGGCGCCTGGATTCCCACGTGGGTTCTTCAACACAGCTTGAGTTTTCAGGGTTTGAACTGAGTGTGGAGTTTGTGGTGCACGAGCCCAGAACACCCTCAACTCGCATCTCGGTGGTTTATATCCCACTACTAGTCGATGATGATGATGATGATAATAAAATTTTCATGGGTTTGCCAGTTTTTCCTCATAAGCAGCTTTCTGTCTTAAATTCCATAGGGTACAATGTCGGAACAAGAACGGATACAAGAATGCCTCAGGAAAGAAATAAGGTCACTTCTTATTTCCACCAAAGATGGTTTGACTCCACAGCAGTTGGAAAAAGAGTACCTTTTGATGGTTGGCAACCACTTACCGCTCCGAATCCTTGGGTATCGGTCCACTATGGAGCTGGTGCTGGACATGCCTGATGTGGTTAGTGTCTGTCCCTGCGGGGATGGTACAGTAATACTGAAAGGTAGGTTTAAGATTTTTGGAAATTTGTAAACTTTGTAATTAAAAATAACCACTTAGTATAGAATTGTTCTACATCTGCAGTTATCCAGCGTCCCAGGCATTGAATCTGAATTTCGGGTGGAATAGCGGGGAGGAATCACAGGTGCCTTTGAGACAAAGTGAGAACTTGATCAGAATTAAGAAACTGTCCCCAGGAAAATGGTGCTTTCACAAAACCCACAGTTTTGCATGAGTTAAAGTTGTTGCACCTGAAGTTAGGAGAAACATAACCATGGGAACTTCTTATTACAAAAACTTTATTTTAACTTCCATGAGGCACACAAAGCATCATTATAAGGAACTTGGCTCTTCATTCCAAGATTTTAAAATCTTCCAGGGGTTAATCAGCAGTAATGATGATAGATTGGGTTTTCATTCCGTCCTCCAATAGAGGAACTAACAAGCTGTTCCCCAGAATGCAAGAAATGGAAGAACCACAGGCTTCTTTCCTGTTTATTGTGCTCTACCTGGATAAACAGCTGCTTGGAGCCCTCAGAGTTGTTTACATAAGCAAAAAAAAAAAAAAAAAAAAAAGGGCATACTTTAGGTTTTTTTTTTTTTAATCTACACCATGATTTCTTTTTCCCACATTTCCCTAGCCATTCCAGATGAATCTACCAAAGGAATTGCAAGTTTAGTTGCAAAGCAGAGGAGCAGCCATAAGGTTCGAAGCTCCATGCCAAAGGGAAGGGCTACTGTTTGCTCTGGGACAAGCTCTGGTCGAGTGCCTTACCGAGGAAGGGTGACCCCTATTCTTCCAGCTGTTGTGAAGAGTGAGCTGAAAGACCTCTTGGCGTTATCTCCTGTTCTCCTTTCTGATTTTGAAAAGGCATTTGCCAAGCGATTTGGTCGATCGTTTCAGTATGTGCAATATGGATTCCTCTCAATGTTCGAAGTGCTGAATGCAGCTTCAGATGTCATTTCTGTAGAGCAGACTAGAGCAGGTTCTTTGTTGAAGCTAAAGAAAAGCATATCTGTGGAAAAGCAGAGAGGATGGCCGGCAGGTAAGCATGTTAGCATACATAATTGTATTGTGGATGAGCAAATCTTGGAGCAATCCTTCCATACACAGATGGGTAATTGCTAAGCTCCATGAGTATATCAAAGTTGAAATCTGGCCCTGCCACTTGCAAACTGAGTGCGGGGCAAGTTACTTACTCGTCTAAACTCTAGTTTCCTCACCCTTAAAATAGAAATAATAATACTTGCCACTTGGAGTTGTGCTGAAGACCTTACATGTCTGTAAAGAGCCTAGCATTTAGTAAGATTGTAATAAGTTTTAGCTGAAGGCTCAAAACTAACGTGATTATTCTTATATCTCCCTAAACCTGGACAGTATGGAATGTATCCACTGAGTGGAGGGGCAACCTGTTTTGGAGAATTCTATGCCTGTCCCAGTGTCCCCATCCTAAAGTTTGCATTTAAATTAGTGTGGGTGAAACTGAGAATGTCATGAGTTTATGAAACATCATTTAAATGGTGGTGGATAATAGTTTGAATATATGAGGATGTGCTGTGGTCAGGGAAAGTTCTGAAGGCTACTGAGTGTTTCAGGTCTAGCCCTCAACCTTAGTGTTCTTGAGGCATTAAGACTTAGGGAAATTAGATTGAGGTGTATAAACATAGGAGACGAGGTTACACTGGATAAAGCAGTTTACCAATTTATTGCATAGTGGGGATGGATAGCCTTTCCTGGGATTGGATTGTCACGTTCTCCATCTATGGTCCATTTTTCCTTTCAGGATATCTTGGAAGTAATTGGTTTATTTGATGAAGTTGATCTTGGGGTCAAGAAAGAGCTAGGCTGTGGTGATTTCCAGTGATATATCTTTCATATTGTACAGCAGAATATACTTCCCTGGTGGTATTCCTCCTTCCCATAAATATTGAAGAAAAAGCTTATGCTCTAGAATGCTATTCTTTCTTCTATGGCTTTTCCTCTCCTCTTCCCATACTCTGGATACCCAGTTTGAATCTTAGTTCTAAGCACACTCCTTCATTGGAGATTTTTTTGGTCTAACAAGATACAGCTTTTTAGGTTTTTCTCTTATCAAATCCTGCTTCTCTATTATATTCAGGTGATCTTAAGTGGTTATTGTCCCAACCTTTTAGGTAATGTCCTTATGATTTCCTGTTTTTTTCCTATTGATTACTAATTATGTATTGTAGGTAAGTTTTATTGGCTTACTATAAAAATGTAGGCTTTCCTTATTTTTGCTTTAAGCTGAGGGCAGTTAACTCACAGTAATTTTTAATATATACACACCAGAAATTGCTAGTGACAATTTTTTTTTCTTCTGTTATTCACAAAAGGAAAAATTTTTACCCAGCCATTTAGAATGAAACAACATGGGTCATATTCTACAGGCTGCGTGGTGGCAAAGCCACGCTTTTCACAACACACTTCAAACATGGAACCTCCAAAGCAAATACTGAACATGGACAAGACTTCCACGTTCAATGCAGTGGAGACTTCAAGGCTGAATCACACTGAAAAATTAAACCAGGTGAGATATCTGAGTTTGGAGACAGGAATACACAGAAAATGTGATGAAAAAGCTGACCTTTTAAAAATTGAAGTCATTCACTTATTTTAATTTTCACTGTTTCCTATGGTTCTATTAATTTAGTAATAAATGAGAGGTGACAGTGAGAAAAGAGTAATAGTTTTATTAATTCTGGTTTTTACTGTTTTCTGCAGTTGACCAAACATATATATATGTTTTGGAAATTTGTTCTGGTCCACATAGATACATATCTTTTTGCCAGTACTGTACTGAATTGATTACTGTAGGCTTATAATATCCTGAAATAATGTTTGAGTCCTACAACTTTATTCATCTTCAGAATTGCTTTGACTATTCTGTATTCTCGTATACTTTTAATTTTATATAAATCGGCTTGTCATTTTTTACCAAAAATAGTCCTGTTAGAATTACACCGGAGACAAATTTTGGGGAAAGTGACATCTTTACAACATTGAATCTACTAAAAGTATGGTGTATCCCATAATTTATTTAGGTCTTTAAATTCTCTCAGCAAATTTTATAGTACGCAGTGCACAAGGCCTGCATATATTTTATTAAACTTATCTTTAATATTTTTGGGGGGATTGAACTCGGGGACACATCCCCAAGCTCTATTTTGTATTTTTATTTAGAGACAGGGTCTCATTGAATTGTTTAGTGCCTTGCTTTTGCTGAGGCTGGCTTTGAAACACTTGTGATCCTCCTGCCTCAGCCTCCCAAGATGCTAGGATTATAGGCGTATACCACAGTGTCCGGCAATTTTTTGTATTTTTTATGCAAGCATGAGTGGTATTTTCAAATTAATCATTGCTAACATGTAGAAAATCAATTGTATCTTTTTAGTATATTGACCTTGTATTCTGTGATTTTTTTTTAAATCAATTACTTGTTAAACTCATTTTGATTGTTCAAATCATTTTAGTAGATATTTTGTAGAGTGGGGATTTTCTTCACAGATTATCATGTCATCTGGGAGGAAGGATGGTTTGTTTCTTTTCTTCCTTTTTCTCCTTAAGCCAGCCTCTCTTATGTATATGAATAGAACTGATGGTAGTAGAAATTCATGCTTTGTTCCTACCTGTAGGGGAAAAGTATTTAGTCTTCATTAACTATGATGTAAATTGTAGTTTAAAAAAATAAATTCTCCATTGAGTTGAAGAAATTCTCTCCTATTGCTTGTTCCTGGTTTCTGAGAATTTTTTCATAACTGTATGTCAAATCTTTTCATGAGTTACTGAGGGAAGAGCATCAAGATATTTAAATACAGTTGTGGATTTGTTTTACCTTTGAGTTTGGCCAGCTTTTGCATTGGGGATTGCAAGTCCCCCTTAGTTGCATGCACGTTTAGGATTGCTGTGTGTTCCTCATGAATTGCCCTATTTGTTGCTGTGATTGACTTCTGCTCATTAACCTGTATCCTACAACTCAGCTGTAATTGTTTATTAGACCCAGACAGGATTTTTATTCTTTTAGATTGTCTATGTAAGTGATGCTGTTGTTTGTGAACAAAGACTATTTTATTCCTTCCTGGTCTATATGCTTTCTATTTTCTTGTCTTGTTGGGACTTGTGATAGGATGTTGAAGCAGTGGTGAGAGAGGGGATATCCTTGCCTTGATCCTAATTATTTTTTATGGTTCCACTCTATCTTTGGTATTTATTAGCTATGCCTCTTCTATATTTTTAGTGAATGGCTTAGGATTTTCAGCATTCATTATTATTTTTTTAAAGACAGAGAGAATTAAAAAAAATTTTTTTTTTGGTTTTCGGTGGACACAACATCTTTATTTTTATGTGGTGCTGAGGATTGAACCCAGCGCCCCATGCTTGCCAGGCGAGCGTGCTACCTCTTGAGCCACATCCCCAGCCCCATTATTTTTAATTTATACATTTGACCCTAAATAATATACCAGTTCATATATAATGTTAAGTGCCTTAGAACAATAAATACACATTCCTTCCATTCTTTGAGCTATTGTTGTGGCATTTATATCTCATGATATAAACCTCTTAATATGTTAGTTTTGGCTCAAAACATTTTTATTTTATTCTTGCAGTGCTGGGGATTGAACCCAGAGGTAATCTACCACCAAGCTGCATCCCCAGTCCTTTTAAAATTTGTTTTATTTTGAGGAATGGTATTGTTGTCCTCAAACTTGCTGTCCTCTTGGCTTCAGTCTCCCATGTAGCTGGGATTACAAGCATGCACCACCATGCCTACCTAAAAATATTATAGCTAAAAAATATTTACCCACATTTATTTTTGATGCTTTTCAGTCCTTTGTGTCCAGATTTGCCTCTAGTATAATTTTCTTTCTGCCTGGAAAATCAACATGTTCTGTAAGACAAATGTGTTGGGAGTGGATATTCTTAGCTTTTGTTCATCTGAAAAAGCCTTTGTTGTTATTTTTTAAATATTATATTGCTGGGTGTAAAACTTTAGGTTGATAGGAGCCTCCCCTGCCCCCGCCCTGCCACTTGCCCTTCAGTACTTTAGAGATGTTATTTTATTGTCTGCATAGGTTTCTGACAATTCTATAGTCTTATTTATCTTCTGTGAATGTTATTTTCAAGATTTTTTCTTGTTTTCTACAATTTGATTTTGGTGTCCCTTGGTGGTATTTTATTTGTTTTGTGTGGGATTCATTGAGCTGCATGTATCATTTAGCTTCTTGTTATGTGCATTTATAATTTTCATTAAATCTGGAAAATTTTGTCCTTAACTATTTTTCTTTCCTTCCATCTTCTCAGGATTACTATTGTACCTATTTTAGAGTGCTTGTAATCTTCTTACAGGTCACTGGGTCTCTTTTCTTTATTTTTTTCCCTCTTTTTTGGCTCTTCTTTCATTGTGTGCTTCATTTTGGATATTTTCTATTGTTGTCTTCAAATTAATTGATCTGCAGTTTTTTTTGGATGCCAGACATTGTGAAGTTGTAATTGTTTTACATGAAAGTTCCTTTGACTCAATTTGGTGATTTTTGAGTCTTTAAAATTTTTTGGGGGGGTGGAGGATCCTTACTATGTTGGCCAAGCTAGTCTCCAACTCTTGGACTCGAGGGATCCTCCTGCCTCACCATTCCAGCTTCTGAGACTACAGGTATGTGTCACCATGCCTGACCTACTATTAACTTTGTTAGGGCCTCAGCTCTGGACCAAATCATGTTCTCCCAAAATTCATACGTTGAAGCCCTAACTTCCTAAATATGATGGTATTTGGAAAGGAGACCTTTGGCAGTAATTAGGGTTCAATAAGATCACAAAGGTGGCTTCCTCATGGGGGAATTAGTACCCTTTTAAGAAAGGAGCGCAAACTGGGTGCTCACCTATGATCCCAGTGACTCAAGAGGCTGAGGCAGGAGGATTGCTTTACCAATTTAGTGAAGCGCTTAGCAACTTAGTGAGATCCTGTCTCTGGGGATGTGGCTTAGGGTAAATTACTCTAGATTTAATCCCCAGAACCAAAAACAAACAAACAAAAAACAACCCAGAGAGCTTTTGCTCACTCTTCATGTGGACACAGTGAGAAGCTGGCCAGCTGTGAGCCAGAGAACCTTACCAAGAATCGGATTGTGCCTTGATCATAGACTTCTAGCCTCCAGAACTGTGAGGGGATGATTTTCTGTTAAAGCCACCCTGTCAATGGTAACTTTTTTGGGGGGGCGGCTGCGAGATGGGACAGAGGGCAGCGTGAGCAGTGGGCCCAGAACAGCCTTCAGTCTAAGGGATAATTTGGTCCCACCACTGAGGCTTTTCTTTGTGAGCATTTAACCTCTGTTGTCGGGTGGGAACAGTGACTGTTCCAGCCCTATGTGAACTTAATGCTATTTGTTGTATTTCTTCAGCCTCAGAGAATGTTCCCCACTTGCACAGATCAATACTCATCAGAAATCTGGGGGGAATCTGTCTGCAGATTTTCAGCGCTATTCCTCTCTGCTAATCTTTACTACTGAGCAAAGTTTAGCATCCTTGTTGTCCCCACACTTCAATATCTCTCTTCAGTTCACCTGGACCCCCAGGCACTGGGTTCGATCCTCAGCACCACATAAGAGTAAATTAATAAATGTATTGTGTCCATCTACAACTAAAAAAAAATTTAAAAAACAAGCAGCCTAAAAAAAATACTCATAGTTGTACTACCAAATGTAATGTTTATTTCTTTGATAGTGATTTCCTCATTTTTAACATTTTTCTCTTGACATTTCTTATGCCAGATAGGCCTGAGACCAACCTGTTTATCTGTATTTATACGTAAACTGACTAGACTATATCCTAATCAAATCATGTCTTTATCTTTTGACATTCAGAATAGATAACCATAAACCATCTGTTGGTCTCTTTTTGGTCAATTTCAATAAAGAAAATTTTTATTTTTAAAAATAGTTTTTGCAGGGGCTGGGATTGTGGCTCAGTGATAGAGTACTCACCTAGCACATTCGAGGCCCTGGGTTCTATCCTCAGCACCTCATAAAAATAAACAAAATAAAGGTATTGTGTTCAACTAAAAAAATAAATATTTAAAAAAAATGGCTTTTGCCAAACTGACATCCAGAAAAGTATTAATACACCCTTCAAAAAAAATTAGTGTCTATTTCTCCATGCTTTCTGGTTATGTAATTCTTAGGATTCTATATGGTTATTAAAAATTCAAATATTTTTATAGTATTAGCTGTAGATGAACTCAATACCTTTATTTATTTATATTTATGTGGTGCTGAGGATCAAACCCAGTGCCTCGCACATGGTAAGTGAATGTTCTACCACTGAGCCATAACCCCAGCCACCAAAATGTTAATTCTTGAAAGATAGTTGGGCACAAAAGTATTTTCTCTAATCAAGAAGCTAAATATAGGGCTGGGGATGTGGCTCAAGTGGTAGCGCGCTCGCCTGGCATGCGTGCGGCCCAGGTTCGAACCTCAGCACCACATACAAACAAAGATGTTGTGTTTGCCCGCCGAGAACTAAAATAAATAAATATTT